GCACAGAATTGGGCAAAGCTTCGATAAACATGCATGATTTCTTGGAAAGAATAATTAGTGGCAGATTGGTAAAACCTAAATAAAAATCACTAAAAATACGCACAAAACTTTAAAAATGAGCCGTCTCACATTAAAGGTGCAATTTGTAAGAATGAAGTAAGAATGACATCCTGTGGTAAAATGTGGTTTCTACAGTCACTTTTTCACTGCCACGCCGAGTTTCGCCCTCGGTCTATTCTACACAGAGAACGAGTCTGGATACTGGATACCGTGAGGGGCAGGGCTAGCTGGCTCAAAAATAACAAATCAATAAAAGGCGAAAATGACGACTGCATCGCGCAATGCTTTTGTTTTTTAGCTGTAGTCAAAGATGGCGTCTGGCAACAGCGCAAACATCTTTCTTTTGAAGAAAGGCTTTTAGCACTTCTTGTTGTGGTTTTAAAGACATGTTCAAGTCATCTAGAACAGAGGAGAGAGCCGTAGCGAACTTTGCTTCAGACGCCATCGTTGTTAAATCTGGTGTAAGCACTCTTGAGTGTTTTATGGTAGGGAGCACTTACTACACTTATTACAGTAATATTTCTCCAGTGTTACAGGAAGTGTGGTTGTTTGCTGTCTTACTGTTAGTTTGCTGTTATATTTCTGAACGGCTCATTGAGAGAAGTAAAATGCCACAATTGACTCATTATTCACTTCACACATACTTTCATTGAAATATTGAGTTGTTGACAATAAAAAAACTAGCTTGAGATACTTTTAGAGTGAATATTTGCTAATAATTTACTGTTAGCATTGTTAACTTAACATTAGCTTTCTTCACCCATAATTAGAGTAAAACAAAAAGCTGTGGTGGCTTCTTAGAGGTACAAGAAATAACTTCTGGGTCACTCCTGTTTACTGGCTTCAGTTCTTTAAACAACTCTGGGGTGTTTGCCCACAGTGTTAAATTACAAATGCTTGCACTGCAATGCTAGCTTGCCAGAAACTTAGCAACCTCACAAACTCACTGATTGTACACAGTAACTACATACCTCTTTCTTTCTTTCTTTCTTTCTTTCTTTCTTTCTTTCTTTCTTTCTTTCTTTCTTTCTTTCTTTCTTTCTTTCTTTCTTTTGAAAAGAGAAAGACAATCCCCCAGCTGGCAGAGAATGAAATCAGTTTTAATATCACCTTCCTTCCAACATGATTAAGACATTTGACCGTTTTGTGATTATTTCATTGTAGAATTATTACATATTGCCCCTTGAAAATAGGCATACACTCATTATCTTAATAAATCAGATGTGGTCTCTATGAAGGCTACAGTACATGAGGCTGCACAACTATACATCTGCAGTACTGGAGCTCCCCAGGATATGGTGCTATCGCCCTTACTCTTGACCTTCTACACCTCGGACTTCACTTACAACCCCAACAGCTGTCACCTCCAGAAGTTCTCTGGTGACTCAGCCATTGTCAGCTGTGTGTCTGAGGGGAATGACCAGGAGTTGAGGTCAGTCATCATGGACTTTGTGGACTGGTGTGAGTGTAACCACTGTCACTTAAACACCAGTAAGACAAAGGAAATGGCGATTGACCTCCAGAGAAACAGTCCTCCTCACTCACCAGTAAACATCCAGGGAGCAGACACTGAGGTGGTGGATACCTTTAAGTACCTGGGTGTTCATCTCAACAGCAAACTGAACTGGTCCAACAACACAGATGCCCTGTATAAGAAGGGCTAAAGCAGCCTCCGCCGCCTGAGGAGGCTGAGGTCCTTCGGAGTTAATTCCCAGCTGCTAAAATTATTTTATCACTCCATGGTTGGCTCTGTTATCCACTCTGCTGTGGTCTGTTGGGGTGCAGGCAGCCCTGACCGAGACTGAGCAAGCTAGTTCACAGAACTAGTTCGGTTTTGAGCTGCCCACTGGATTCAGTTCAGGAGATGTGAGAAAGGAGGATGCTGGGGATGATGACCACCATTCACTGCATTCCACTGTGAAGACAATGGACAGCTCCTTCAGAGGCAGACTGAGACATCCCAGATGTAAAACAGAAAGCTACCGTTGATCTTTCATCCCCTCTGCAGTAAGAGTGTATAACTCCTTAGTTTAAGCTGTACTGGCGCCACCGGTCCCTCCGACCACCACCAGCAGGCAATGTGGGTTAAGTGTCTTGCCCAAGGACACAACGACAGCGACAGACTGAGCGGGTCTCGAACCTGCGACCTTCCGATTGCGAGGCGAGCACTTAACTCCTGTGCCACCGTCGCCCCAAGTACATTCTTGTCTCTTGCAGTATGCTGCATAGTGTTGGAACCCAAGTTTTTCTTTTTTTATTCGTGTTTTTTAGTAGTCGGAGGTTACAACTCTAGACTACTGCCTATGTGCATATTCATGTACCTTTGTTTTCTTCAAATTATTCTCTTAAGTGTTGGTGCTGCTGTAACAAGCACATTTCCTTACTGTGGGATCAACAAAGTCTATTCTATTCTATTCTATTCTATTCTATTCTATTCTATGAATACCCTGTGAGGTGTTTTCTTTGGGGGAAAAAGAAGCTCTGGCGCTCCTTTTTCAACAGGTTGAAGTTAGCCAGAGCATAGGGGGCAGAAAATGGCGGGATTCGGAATCTTACTCATTAATATTCTTGATATTCAAACATCTTGCCTCTGATTGGCTAACAGCAACACAAGCCTTCCACTGCCCTTGTTCTGTCTGAACGTGTCTGCCATGTTGTGGGGTTTCTAATGCTAACAGTTAGCTTCTACTAGCCGAGATACGCTCTGCTCTCTCCTGGACGCTAATTTAACATAACCTTCTGCGGTCGCCACACAAGATGGGCGAGTTCAGGAATGCAAATGTTGAAGTGTGACCTAGAGCTGTACGACCTTTTATAACCGGATCATTCCCCTGTCTATTTTCTCTCAATGGCTATTGGAAATAGGGTTAAAGGCCATTTTAAACGCCCAGCATGCATGTGAAACTTAGCGTGTCAATAATATCTTAGTCACCATAGCAGACGTTTTGTTACACTGTTTCATGAATTGTTTTGTTCTATTTTAGAAATATCCTGCTGGTTTAAAGGTGACAAGTACAAGCTCCATTATTCCCCCAAAAGCACCACAAGCCATCTGTGTTTTAGAATGTGATTCATGTGAGAGCAAACTATTGACTGGACCTTTTTGTTAGCTTCTGTTTAAGAGGGCAGCAAACAGGAAGCGTGTGTCAAACCAGAGGAAATAAAGCATTTTTAAAAAATTGATGAAACTGAACTACCAACAGGAGACAAAAAGCTGCTTGTGTGTTTCGTGTTTGTGTGGTCTTCTGATTCATACAGCGGCTCATCGCTAAGTTATGTGAACGTAGCTGCCAGCATGGCCGTCGTGCAAAGCTATTTAGAAGTTCTTCTCATTTGCTACTTTCAAAAAACACAATAGGAGCCATTATACAGGACAACGTAGAAAAATGTATTTTCAGTGTTTCCATATTTTGCAGGCATGCTGCTTTCCGAGGCAGGCATGATAAAGAGCCCAGACTTCCTAAACTAGGCCCGTCTGACACTCGGACAAAACCTTATGCACAAAGAGGCTGTGAGGAATGGATTCGATGAATGATTACAGCATTTGTAAAAATGTAAATGTGAGAAAATGATGCAGTTCTGCAAGAAATACATGTAAACGTTTTGTGGGACTTTCAAAAAGGTCTCAGTTTACTGCTAGTGGGGAAACTTACAACAGAAGTAATCTAAAAGGCTTTTTAGCCATCTGTTCCATCACTTGAGCTGTGAAGTTCTGCAAAGTTCTTGTTATGTTCTTTAAAAACAGGATAACTAGTCCATCTGGATTCTGTCACATGCTAATCAATGGGTGCCTAACTTTTTCAATATGAGGACCTAAATTTTCCTAGTTCTTGCTGGCCACAAAACTGATTATTTTTTTGTAATTTGAATGCAAAAGTCATTTAATGGTCATTTTTATTTTACCCCTTTAAAACAGGTCTGTAAAAGGGCATGTTGGTAAAAATTTGGAAGACACCTACAACAAAAAAGTCAGAAACCAAACTAATCATTCCAGAAATGTATATGGGCAGACGGCCCCCATGGGCCACCCTTTGGACACGCTTGTGGAACTGCCCACTTCAATGGAAATGTTTTCTTTCAGCTAAATTCTCAATTTTAAGTTATAAAGCTCAAACAAAAAGCTGAAATATTAGGGGCATTATAACATTTTTAGCTAACCCTGATATTTTCTCATGAAACTGATTGTTTTTGTCAAAACAGAGTCCAGTTTTCCTGGAAGAGGGTACAACATGTGCAGAGCTGATTAGAAAAATGTCAGTTATGACATAAAGGGTGGGAAACTATTAAAGTGTTTTGTAGATCATGCTGACCCAGAAAAGATAACATTGAGAATTCTTCCATGCACGCGTTTGGGTTTAGTGGCTCGTCCCGACGTGACTCAATGCATCTAAACTTGCACATAATGATTCTGATTATAAAAGTGTTCTGTTTTTAGATACATTTACACTGAACTGCTATTCCAGAAAAATCCTGACTAATTGTTCCGGTCATTTTCACGTTTTAAAAGCATATGAATGGTTAATGATCTAAGGTAGAGGCGACACTATGTCTCACACGTGCCGATGACTAAACCCCACGTTAGAGAGGATTTTCTCTCGTTCAGACCATGAGATTGAAATATTTCATGCAAGATTTCCTCCACTTTAAATTAAGCCGAACATCACTTTGTGGCTTCTAGCTAAGTGCCCTCTGATGTATAGCTGCTCTCCACTGCCTTCCTTGCCGCTCCACTGACACGGTTTATGGCTTTGCTTTGTTGTGCCACCCATTTCCTCCCTCCTTCTCCAAACAGCTCCTCATAACCAACTCATTCTTTCACCCGAATGATTTATGCACGTCGATCGGTGGATGAACTCACACACACCTGCTTTCTCATGCACTCCAACTTTTCAAGCTTACATATTTTTTTTATGTTCCTGTTCAAAACATACAAGTAATGCTGCATTTTTAAAATTAACTTTATATCACCACAGCACAAGGCAGATATTAAACATTCTGGAAAGCTAAAACACAAGTTGCACCTTTTACTAAAAACACCTGGTACACCAAACATCTCCCACGTTGGACCAACAGGTGGCACTCTGGTAGCATTTACTCCTCAGCATGTCATTAAGTGAAGGAAAAGAAAAGCATTTGGAATTTTACACACATTTAAAGTGAGAAGGTGACATCGCTTTGTGATACAGGTGAGGAAGCAACAATGCAGGAACCTGTACAGATAAGTTTCACATACATTTGAAGTGGAGCTGCATAATGGACTCTGAAGACGTGCTGCCCCCTCCTCCACCTTACAAACCACTTTTCTGTTAACTTGTGTCAGGAGGAAGCTATCCGACAAGGACAGCTGTGCTGTGTCAGGGCCTCTTTACTTCAGGTTTACGTGCAGCTTTGTTTTCGCCTTATGTTTCAGAACAAATTTTGCTCGAGGGGGTTTAGAATCGAGGTGCTTGTGCAGATGCTGAGCAAGGTGGTGGGGAAACCGAAACATCTTCCAGTAACCATTCATAGGAGCTCGGCTCATTTTGGGGTGAGGGGATGGGGCCACTTTCCTAAGGGTACCCTTGATTGCATGACTCCATCTTAGGGGCCAAAATGGTCTACGCCGAGGCATGCCATGTCTATTTGGAGCAGACTGGTCAACATCAAGGTCATACTCTTTGTAACCTTGGGGAGTCGTCAGGTCCAACTGGCTCAGAGGAACAGGTTTGACCTCTTCAAAGCTGGACTCGGGCATACCAGGTGACTGTCCTGTAGGAACGCTGAGCATTGGGTTGGTGCGGGATCTACCCCGAACCATCATGTAGGCATCATGGCTTGGTAGGATCCCGTCAGAGCTCCTGGGGTGGAATTGTTGGTAGGTCATGTCAAAGGGGCTTTCCTCTGGCTGATGGTGGGAGTAGATATCCATGTTATGTGGAGTATGAGTCATTTGATCATAACTAAAAGTGCTAGGCTGCTTCACATAATGAGCTGGTGAAGAGAGATCTGGGGCTCCATGGACTCCAGGGTACTCCAATCCCAAAGCAGCTGCACGAGCTGAAACACATTTTATTCAGCTTATTATTTTCTGTCATTTAGAAACACCAAATAAACTCATTAACTGGTCAATTATAAGAAATCAACAATAATTCTACTCGTGCCTTGGGCCGTTTTTGCACAATATGCACCTCCAGCTGACACAGAGTGGAGCACCGCGATGCTGTGAAAGACCAAAGAACCAAACATTTTAACACATCCAGCATGGCTCTCACTCCTGACCAACAAAATGAAGATTTCACAATCAAAATACCTGAAGAAGCACCAGAGATGAAGCCATTTCTGCACTGTCCCCAGGAGCTTCATGACAGCACAATCCACTTCCTACTCCTCTGCAGCCACGTGGACTACCTAAGAAACCTCACCTTGGCTTGATTTACTAATTACAGACAGCTGGTTGTCATAGAAACCAAAAACCAACCACTGAATCCACCCACCTACTGGCAAATAGCTTCTTTAAAGGAAGTGGGTCAGAATTTGAGGCAGAACTCAGCTAGATTTAAATTTTTTTAAGATTTATTCTCATTTAAGGAAAGAAAACAGATTTAAAGGCAACACAGCCAAACAAGCAGCAGTGGGATTTCAGACAGAGTTGTAGCTCATCAATCTTTTATGAGCTGCAGCAGAAGTTAGCAAATCTGTCTGATTTAAACGTGATCTGCTTTGTTACACCTGATAATCCCATAATATTACCTCTGATGTTTAGCGTAAGAGGTAGCTAATTAAACTTTCTAATTCAGTGGACCTAAAAAAAATGATAGCATACAATTTCTGCATGATAGCCACAACAAATGTGAAATGATCTCATTAAGTTTGACCTCTTTCATTTCAAGGTTCACAAAACTCAAAAAACACACGGAAGCAACGATACATCAGGGCTAAATCAGCTTTATTCAGCATAAACTGGATCCACTGATTTCCCTCTTTCCTGTTCACTCTCTCTTTTTTAACATTGTTTAATCACAATTGCCTATTTTTGCTCATTTTAAATATATTTTTAAACATTCTCTAAATGCTTTTTTATATTTTTACATTTTTTGCTTTTGTGAAGCGCCTCGTGATTTTTATCTTGAGAGGCGCTATAGAAATGATATTTTCTTCTTCTTCTTCCTCTTCCTCTTCTTAAACACGCACAGCTCCAGACTAATTACGAATCAGAAAAATGTGTTCCAAAGACAAAATGGTGAGGTCTGAATTCCTGCTGCTGGACATAACAGAAAAAAGAAGATGCCGAGGGCAGCGGGAGAATTTCATGAATCACCTAAATGATTTCTGTCAGGAATGACAGGCCAAACAGGGGCTTGTTTCTATTCTGTAATTGCACGTTCACCTTTACTCTGATCCCATACTTGGGTGAGTAACAGGCCCGGGCCTTATTTGAAGTGTGCCATGGCAAATTATGGATTTCTAATTGCCGGTGATGTTGCACCAAAGTAGAGCTTTGTCACCCCGATGAGGATAACGCCAGAAAACGTGGAACCAACATATAGCCTAGAAATCTAGGCCAACCACAGCAAAGACCAACTGTCGGTCTAGCAACGCTCCTTTTTAACCTTCTTAGGGTTACCCACCGATCGGGTGGGGAGGTTGCGCTCAGAGGAGCAGAGCTTTCCCAAATAATTGGTCTGCTCCATGGAGGAACATTCATAGGTTATCAGAGCCCATAGACAAGGGACTGTGTCTGGTTTGATGATGTAAATTTGGAGGGACAGCAGCAAAGAGGTAGAGCGGATTGTCCGGTAATCGGAAGGTTTGCAGCTTCATCCACTTCTTTGACGTTGTATGGCAGAAGGCCCTGTTCACTGTTCTCCGTAACGATTAATACGTCACACAGTTTGTTGCTCTGATAGGGAGGCTAAGTCTCCTCCCTTTCCGGTCGGCTCACGGGTCCCTGGAAGAACGAAAACATGAAAGCAAGTCAACGGGGCTAACAACGCTTGCCTCCTGTGGGAAGTTTGCTGAACGGACTGCCCTTTTCCCTGTGTCTGGTTCGATGACGTCACTTTTGTGAAGCGGATTTGTAGTCCTAGATTTATTTTACACCAAACTTAAAATAAGCCCCCCCCCTCAAAGGGTATCAAAATATGTCTTTAAAATTCACGGACATCATATGTGAAATCCATGGCATAAAACAAGCGGAATTAGAAAATAGCGTTTTTAGCCCCATTTACTTGCATTCGTTTTTTTGTCCTTCTGGGGACCCGTGATGCGGAAGCAGATGGGCGTGACTTAGGCTCCCTATTGGCTCTAGCACTGTCTAAATGACTGCAACGACAGTTTGGAAGACTTCTGTAGATTTCACCCCATGACTGAGCTCAGTGCGTCGGGGCCAGAATGGGACATCTTGCCGGGCTAGCACAAACCTCCAACCAACCCAGAGACTAAACCTTTTACAACACTGTACCCCAGCACGTACCAGTGGCCCTGTGTTGCTAGGGACAATAAAACAGACCGAATACGTTTTAAATACACAACAAACGGCCTCTTGAAGCAGGCGGCGGCAATAATGTTAACTTTAACTTCAAGGTGTCAATGAGCCTTCTCAGTCACCTCCCATCAACACTTCCTGGGGCTCATTTGGGACCAGCAGGAGAACCGTGTAGTTTAAATTTTCCCCTTCTGGAGCATCACTAGACGGCCAAATGACAACACAACACCCCGGTGATGCTTGTTTCCACCAAAAAGGTGCAATTAAATGCACCGGAATCAGATTCATGATGAAACCACTCGCATTTGTTTTTGGCTAATTCTCTAAACTTGTGTAAATATGGATCAGAATCAATTAGGCCTATTAATATACAGTCCTCAGAGGATTCACATCAAAGCACACAATCCAATTAGGAGTGTTTACTGTGTAGATTGAAATGCTCAGCGTTCCGCTCTTAAACCCAATCCGCGTGTCAGTAAACAGCGTGTGCCAGAGTATCTTCACCAGTGGTTGTGTGTGGGTGTGTATTTGTGTGTGTGAGATCCAGTGTGTTTGCGTGTATGAGTCGAGCCAGAGATAAAGACTGTGAACATATGCAGCCTGGGAAGCTTTAATGTGATATTGTGAATTTGATTTAAATGATAAATTATGGGGGGGGGGGGGGGGGTCTGATTCTGAATCAGATACGCAGTCAGATGGTTTACACCGGCTTCTCTCTGTCACCTCTTTGTGAAATGCATCTACACACCATTTTGGCTCTGTGTTATATGACATAAGGCAAGGCAGCTTTATTTATATAGCACATGTCATACAATGAGGCAATTCAATGAGCTTTCCATTAGCAAGAACATTAAAATCAACGTGTCAGCATTATTAAAATACACACTAATTAATTTCAGATTTAAGAATAAAAACACAAAGTTAAAGACTGAGCAGTTACAGCGCAGAAGGTGCAGAATAAGGAACATTCATTCTAAGGCTGATGGATACATGAACGTTTTCAAGTTTGATGTAAAAGTTATTAGAGTCGGGGCACATTTGAGGTCACGAGGAAGCCGATTGCATCTGTGTGCAGCATAGTAGCTAAAAGCAGCTTCAACCCGTTTGGTTCTGACTCGGGGTTCTACAAGCTGACTGTTTTCTTAATGATCACAGAGGCCGAGCATAAATACATGCTAGAAGAAGCACTTTGAAATCAATGATGTAGTTTACTGGTAACCAGTATAAAGATTTGAGAACAGGAGTGATGTGCTCGGTTATCTTGTAGCAGTATTCTGAATAAGCTGCAGTTGCTTCACAGCTTTAAATGATGATAAATGATGTTTGGAGGTGGAGACGTAGTTCTGTGAACACGAATTGTGAGGAAGTGACTGAAATAGTGAGGCAGCAAAAATGCAGAAATAATTTTTATTTATTGTGAATCATTTTGTTGTAGAAACAGAAATAGTAGTGGTCTACTGGATTATTTTAAAATTTAAAAATAAAATCAAACGAAAAAAATTTCTAATTTAAAGAGAATAAAACTTATATTTACATTTTACCATGGCCATCAGTGCATTTTGGATTTATAAATGTTGGAGCATGCTGCATGTTGGCACATTTGGTAGCATTGTTGCCTCACAGTGGTTGTAGGTGCAAATCCTGGCTGTGTAGTTAGCATGTTCTCTAAGGCCCTGTCCACACGTAGCCGGAGATCTGCCAAAACGTAGATATTTTTCTACGTTTTGGCCTGTCATCCACACGACAATGGAGTTTTTTCACACAAAAACTGATCTTCTTTAAAAACGCCGGCCAAAGTGAAGATCTGCGTTTTCTCCGTTTTGGGTGTCTGCGTGTGGACGGACAAAACCGGAGTTTTAAGGTCCGCAACGTCACTTTCAGCGACAAAAAAATGCTGACATCACATGTGCGACCTGTGTTTACACTAGCCGACAGCATGGATGCCCTCAGAGCTGAGCTCGCTTTATCAATTGTCCAAGCGCTTTTTGCTTGTTTGTTTTTGCAAGCGGAATTACTGCTCCTTGCGGAAGACCACAGACGAAGGACGAGGTTAAGAACGGGGGAAGTACTGCCGCCTACAGGTCTGGCATGTCCTTAACAACATATTTATCCGGGTACGTGTGGACAGAGGTTTTTTTTAAAACGAGGTGGTGTGGATGCAAGTTTTTGGAGGGGCGGATATCTGTTTTTAAATAAACCCGGCTACGTGTAGACTAGGCCTCAATGTGTGTGTTTTCTCTGGGTACTCTAGTTTTCTAACCTGACAAGCCACCCTATATATGTAAATATATAGTCTGGCCACGAGCCATTAAAACCCAGTCGTGGAGCAGAATCTACTGTTGTTTTTAAAACTAGGACCTCTAGGACCAATCGGAGCAATAAACAACGTGACATACTCACCGCTACAGATGTCAGTCAGTGGGGCAGTTGGCCATACACCGTTGAAGACGAAGCAAATACATCCTTTTCTAAATGAAGGATTCTAGTAACTCTTTCTGCTCATGTCTCGAAGAACGGCTCAAGTCCAAATAGACTACAGTTGATGCAAAAGTCGTGCCGTTCCTGAGTCAGTGCCATCTTTGTGGTTTTTCTGTTGCAGCTTTAGTGTGAAGTCCTCCTAACAAACGCAAACTGTGATTAGTCAAACACAAAATGCTCAGGCTCTTGCTAGACCTGCTGAGCTTACGATGGAGCGTGGCTAGACCAACCTGCAGAGCAAATTCCTTCGCTTCTGTGGTGGATGGTCTAGATTTTTAGTCTACTGGTTTCTTCCAAGAACCAAAGACATGCATCATCCCTGGGTGAGTGGAGGCCTCTTGTCTGTCCGCATGGGCCCCTGTGATGGACTAAGGACGTGACCAAAGTGACCTTATGACAACGAGTAAGTCGTTCAGCAGCTGGAAACAACACTAAGGTCTCACTGTCTATTTGT